GACCGATAATTTCTTTGTAGGCCCCGACTGAAGGTGAGCGCTGGCGGTTACATCAAGTAACTCGAGAAGGTTATCCTCCCTACATGTGGTCGCCCACACCTTCTTGGAGACCTTGTACTGCTGGTTTGGGTGCCACCACATGGAATCGAAGGGTTTTGGAAAAACTACTTCGAATGGAAGGGCGTTTCGTACCTGAAGAAGATGTAATATTGAAGTATGTCCCCTGACCTGAACCCACTCAATTACCTAGTCGGGCGGAGTTCAAGAGGGTGGTCTACAGTGGCGGAGAAATCAACGATCTCGCTCAACTCCGGTACCCACTCACTTTCGCGCGGCCGAATCTCTCGATGGCGCTCCTCCAGAAGGCTGTGGCGGAGTATCATTATAGTATTTAATGTGCTCTTTAATATGGTAGTAAAAATGTCCGATAAAAATTTAATAAAGTGTAACTTATAGCGCCTTGAAAGTCATGGAGGCAAAATGACTTTTTTTTGGCCCCCCCCCTGTATATACAATTATTTGCAACACTATAAAAATATAGATAATTACAATAAACTAGTCAATAATATATTCTCCATTGATTCTTACTACTAGTCAATAATATATTCTCCATTGATTCTTACTACCTTCTCCCACCGATCAGTCACCGAGAAGGCATTGAAAGCTGGCTGATCGGTGGGAGGAGGTTGTAAGAAACAATGGAGAATATATTATTGACTAGTTTATTGTAACATCTATATTTTTTATAGTGTTGTAAATATTGTGTTTGAAATTTAATCAGGAAAACAAAAAAAAATCGTGAGGTATGGGTCGACCGGATGTCTGCAAGGTCAGCGTTGTCGGTTTTGCTTTTCTCAAAATCAATTGTGAGCCGTCCTAATATTAATCTGTTACTCAATGCTTTACTCAAACCATGGCGAATCTATTGAGCTGCTCCAGGGGCTTTGAAGCTTCCGTGGAAAGCGGTAGGGAGAAGAAGTCGGGAATGCTGATTCTCATCGACCTGACATTCCGTATTAATAACCTGAAATTAACAGAAAGTAAACAGCTATGGCCATGCAGAAGTCGTACACTGCTTATCCCTAAGACGGAGTAGGCCTGGCATTTGCGTAGAGTGTGTTACCCGGGGATATCTCAACAGCGACAGGACCACAAGCATCTATGTTCGCACTGAAGCGGGGGGGGGGTCACTGAACACTGCGAGTCTTTGGCGCCTTTGCAATCCTTTCAAATGGTCAAAATAGCACATCCTACGCAACCGCGTGTCTGTGCTCCACATGGTTGGGGAGTTTTCGCGTGGCCGTTGGAATAGGAAGACGTCACTTGCGCTGGATTGAGAAGCGTCTGCTAAATGGAGAAAGAAAGAGGGAGATACCTGGGTGTGTACCTCTCGCTAAGGTGTGCTCAGAGGATGCTACAAACAACGACATACGTACTTGGCATCATGCGCTTTGCCCCAGCTGCTGCAGGAGCCCCGCCCATTTTAAGAACTACTGCACTACGCAGTAGCTTTGAAGAAAAACTCCGAATAAGATGTTGAAATTCTATTCTCAGTCGTCTTGAGATGTCCTTTGAAGCAACCATAGAAGGAGTATCTAACAATATAATGTAAGTACATAATAATATTGATAGCTAAATCACTCGCTGAGGTGCTTAATTATGTGCTGCAAAGTACTTCATCTCCTCGAAGACACCTATCGCGATCGTTAGTTGTGCTTCTCAAAAAGAATAGGAAGCTTATCAGCCAGGGAAGCGAAACAGAAGAATCGGTAAAAACGCCTTATGAGGCTCTTTTGCTCTTCACGCTGGTTGAATGCGCGGCTAATAAAGAAGAGGAGAGGCAGTTGAAATCGTTGCAGTAAGAAGGGAGGCATGGAAAGAGCCCATATGCGGCGTTTTCTACCACTGGCTGTTCTCTACTTGCATGGACCACTGAACGATCATCTGTAGAAGAACGCAGCCGTTAACGGGCTGATTCTTCCCCTCTTGACCGCCTCGAGGGACTGTGGCGATATCAGCTACACTTAAGCGAGTCACCAAGCGGGAGACGAGACAGTCGCAGGTGAGAGAGCCCAAAGCCGCACATGCAAAGGGTGGATATTCACACATACTAAAGGTAAAGCCAGCCTGAAAGGGAAAGGTCAAAGTTTAGCTAGAATCCCAGTCGCTCTTAGCTCCGCATACATAAGAGGTGACGAAGTGGTGCCTTTTGCACGGTTGAGGATCTGCTCATTGTCTGCGCGAAAGAGGCTCTCCACGAAGGAAGATAATTATCAATGAACCGACCTGATAGCATCTTGTCGCACACATCTCCACAGAGTCCACCTTCAGTTCGACTTCGAACTGAGCGTGGAATTCAGGGGGTCGTTCAGACAGTGGCCGAGCTTGGAATTTGATTGCACAGCCTGAAAAATTTACGATTAGCGAACGATACTGCTTACACTCACTAGCTTACCTTTTTGGAAATGGGAGGCGTTCTCGTCTCGAGTACGATTACGCAATACTCCTACCGGCTCTTCTTTTTCCTGTGGCACGCCAGTTGTTGAACCTTCCGCACCCGCAGTAGCTTTAGTTGTGGGAGTTGTTTCAGCACCAACTTCCTCTGTGACCTCACCTTCCTTCTGTTCGGAAAATTCTGCCACTTCAGAATCGTTGAATTTATCTGAAATCCAGGCGATTTCATGCTATCCTAAGCCTGTCTTACGGATGTTATAACGTAAATGAACGCACAGCAATTGACGCAGTGAATCCACGTCGTGTTCTTCGCCGCATAGTGGAGGGTGACGGGACCTCTGCTGCAGAATGGCTTATCGTTGTATGACAACGAACAAGTCTTTCCATTAGGCTC